TCACGTATATGCAAAGGTAGGGCATTCCAGAGCTTAATAGACTGGACAGTAAAAGATTTATTGAAAAATGATGTATTGTGAGTTGGCACACTTAAAATGAATTTTCTAGAAGAGCGTAAAGGTTCCCCCGGAAGCCCCACAAAATTAAACTTCTCCTTTAGATAGGGAGGAGTAGAAGGGTGAAATAATACACAGTACAGAATAGAAAGTATATGCATGTTCCGGCGAAGTCGGATAGGTAACCACTTGAGACGTGAGCGAAATTGGGAAATATGGTCAAATTTGCGCAATCCAAATATGAACCGAATACTAGTATTTTGAAGTCTCTCAAGCTTATTTAGCTGGTCCTCAGTTATGTCTACATAGCTTGCGTCAGCATAGTCGAGAATCGGAAGGAGAAGAGACTGTGCGAGCATAATTTTTGTAGGAATGGGAAGAAATGATCGAAGGCGACGCAGTGAACAAAGAGCGACAAAAGTTTTCTTACTTACCTCATTCAGTTGGCGTATCCAATTTAAGGAATTATCAATATAAATACCAAGATTTTTGACATTGTCAAAGTAAGGGATAACAACTCCATCGAATACGATAGGTGGTACAGAGAACCAGTCAATTCTTGAGATAAAGCTCTGGCTACCAATAATGATAGCCTGAGACTTTTTAGGATTGACATTTAGGCCATATGATTTACTCCACTCGTGTATAAAATTTAGATCCTTATTTAATGTAGCGATTGCATTCGGCAGATTCTCAAGAGTTGACTGGGTGTAAATCTGGACATCATCCGCATACATGTGGTAGAGAGAGGATATTTTATGAGTGATTGAATTAATGAAAATGGAAAAGAGTAAAGGTGACAACACGCCGCCCTGCGGCACGCCTGCAGTTATATCACACCAAGATGAGTGAGTTTCATCGACACGAATACACTGCCGACGGCCACAGAGATAACTTTGAAACCAGTCAATTACTGATGGAGATATGTTAAGGGAACATAACAGACTCAACAGTATATCGAAGTCAACAGTATTGAACGCATTACTGAAATCCAGCAAGGTCATGACTGTGAGTTGTTTATTATCCATACCCCACCGTATGTCATCAGTAACTTTGATTAAGGCAGTAGCCGTACTATGACCTGGACGGAAACCGGATTGTAAGGAATTCAATAAATTGTGCTTATTAAGGAAAAGGGTCAGCTGTTGGCAAATAAGTTTTTCAAGGACTTTAGAAAGGAAAGGTAAGATCGAGATGGGACGGAAATCAGAGAGGTTGACGGGATTAGATTTCTTTGGAAGGGGTATAATATGAGCACTCTTCCAGGCTTGAGGGAATTTAGAGGAAGAGACACAAGCATTGAGTAAATAAGTGATAATGGGAGTAATAACATCAAGGAGAGGAACAATCATATTACGGCTAATGTTGTCGCTACCGGCAGCATTTGAGGAGATGGATAATATGGTCTTCTTAACATCACATTCAGTAAACTGACTAAAAACGAACGGAGGATAATTAGGAGTCGGAATTACAGAAAGCGAACGAAGTGTTTGCAGTTTATGTTCGCTATCAAAAGAGTTAGAAGGATTAGAAAAATGTTGATTTAATAGTTCAAAATCAACACTAGGAGGTGAAGTATTTAGGGATGTTCTACCAACTCCAACTGTTTTGAGAAACTTCCACACCCTAGATGAGTCGCCGTTCTCGACTGATGTATGAATATGGCGTCGTTGCGCATCTCTACACAATGTGTTGCATCGATTCCTGATTTTGGCGTATTTCCTTACGTTTTCCTCTGTTTTATTCCTCTTAAGCTTTGACAATGCCGCATTCTTCTGCAAAATAAGCTTCTTCAGATCATCAGAGAGCCATGGAGCAGGTAGGTGTTTAAGTCTCACATAATGCATTGGCGCGTGGACGTCATAAAGCTGAGTGAGAAGAGAACAGAACAGTTCCACTTTATCGTCAATGCATGGAGCTCTCTCGATCACTGACCAGTCAATATTATAAGCATCTTCACAAAGTTGTTCAATATCCATTCCTCCAAAATTACGTCGCAGAACTAATTTGGGTTTGATTTTAGGAGGGCGTAGTTTATACGAAAGAAAAATTAAATCGTGATAAGAGAATGCATCAGCAGGGCACTGTCCGTGCTTGAAAACTAAATTGGAAGATGACACCATTATTAAGTCAAGAAGGGAAGGAGTACTGTTAGGAAAGTTATGAGTAGCAGAAAGGGGTAGGATTTGCATATTACACGCTTCAATTATAGCTTCAAGTTTTATAGATCGATTGTCGCCTTTAAGCAAACAGGTGTTAAAGTCACCCATCAAAATAGTGTGACTATACGTAGGGACTAGTGATTCTAAAAGAGATTCAAAAGAAGTAAAATAATTTATAGAAAGGGAGGGACTGTAGAAAACTCCAAGTAGGATTTTATTCTGAGACAGGGAGACCTCAACCAGCAAATGCTCAGCAGAATCAACAGGAGGTGGTTGACTTGACGAACTAACAATTTTAAATGGAAGGTAGGATCTTAGATAGATCGCCACGCCCCCACCACCCCTATTAGTGCGGTCATTTCTAATTAGATGAAACCCAGGCAAAGAATAAGAAGTGGAAGGCAGACAGGGTTTTAGCCAAGATTCTGAAACTAAAATGGCGTGAATATTTTGGGATTCAAATGACGCAAGCATGTCAGGATAATGAGCCGGAATGCTTTGGGCGTTAATATGAATAGCATTAAAGTTATTCACACAGTCTGAGAAAAAAGAATTTAAGGTGATGTTGAGTGAAGGAGGAGCAGTTGTACTGTGATAACTATCATCACTAAGTGTCCCATCGTCCGAAGACAACGATAGAAACAAATCACTATCGTTACAAATGTTTGAGGAGGCCATAAATATTAAATTAAAATATAAAATAAATTCTTATATACACTAAAAAAAAAAGAAAAAAAAAATATAAATAAAGATCGAAAGGTACCTATACTATTACAACCACCAGCAGCATGAAAGAGAAAGCACATAACAAAACAACAACTTAAAGAAATAAAACAATCAGTTTAATATAAAAATTACCAAAACCTTGCAGTCTGACGCCAATAGATTTTAAGACATTTTGAAACTGTAAACGTCAGACTAGGCAGTATGGATTAAGATGCCTTTGCCAAAGTTATAAAATAAAATAAAAAATAAGAAAGAAATCTGACAACAGGTAACAACTGTCACTGTTAGTATAAATAAAGGTATTTATACGTAAATATTATTAACAAAAAATATAATGATTAATTAATCTACCAGTTATGTGAAATAATTAAAATAATTTCAGTAACAATGTGTGTTGCAGTGGAAACCTATTATAAAACTTATGTCTTAAAAATGAATGGCAAAGAATTATAATTAAAACCTGATTACCTAAAAGTTACAAAAATATAAGAATTGAGCTGCTGGAGTAAATTAGTAAAAACAAAATCATAAGAAAAACATGCCACTACCATCATTTTTTAGCCGTCTTCCTAGCCCTAGCAGTAGTAACACAGGGCTTGGGAGCCGAAGATGCCGCCGCCGCCGTCGCCGCAGTCAAGGATGTGGTAGTAGGGACACCACCAGCTGCATCAGGAATGGCGATCACCTCAGCCACGGTGTACACCCGGTGCTTCGTGCCGTCGGACCCAAGCACCACAACATATCCATCGCGTGTCCAACACTGGGATACACCAAAGCGCTTCCGAGCAGCAACAAACGCCTCATGACGACCCTTAGTCATGAACTCAGATAGAGTAACTCCGCTACCCTTTAGCTTGGTTTTGGAAAACCAAACTTTGTCACGGAGATCCTGATCTTGAAATTTCACGAGCAACACACGAGGCTTGTCGCCACGGGGGCGCCCTAAGCGATGGCATCTGGTAATAGAGTCCACACTTAATTCAGGGATGTTCAGCCGCTCTGATAATACCTTACTTGTGCAATGTACTAGGTTCTCATCTTGAGCTTCTGGCATTCCATGGACAAGCAACATCTTCCTCCTGGTCCTTACCTCCATTTCATCTTGCTGCCTAGAGAGAAGCTGGAGCTGAAGTTGCAGATTCTCAAGTGCTGACAGGACGAATGCCCTAAATGCATTAAATTGTGCATTAATATTGGAAGAAGGGCTCGTTGCAGGGATGGATGTTCTGACCTCCCTCTGGAACTCATCCATACGTGAAGTGAAATTCAGTGTTAGCTCTTCAATTGACTTCTTAAGCAAATCCATTTTTAATATTCAATTAAAGGTTACTTAAAGGTCAATGTCAAGTGACAGTGAAGTGGCAAAATAAGTTTTAAGTTGTGCAATGAAAAACAAATTATTAGTAAACAATGCTGGTGGATTTATGTAATTACAGGTACATTTATATACTTGATTGTTCTAAATTTACTATAATTAAAACTTTAAAAAATCAGGAACGATTTTAAATATGTCAACACAGTTTTGCGCCTACCCACCGATATTGTTATATGTAATATTGTTGATTTAATAAATGATTCACTAAGACCCCTAAAAAGAAGTGATCCGGTAGGGTGGGTTAGATTTGCTGAAGCATTAAAAGATATTAAAGTACCACTTACTTATATTGGAAATCCAAGGAGATGTGAGTTTATTAACCAACTTCAAGCAAAAGATTTGAACAAACCCTCTGAGATTGAAGTTCAAGAGTTTTCTACACCGGTCAGTAGAGATAAAAAGTCTACAACTAAAATACGTAAAGGACTTGAGTGGGAAAAATGGACCCCGTACTAGAAGAAATTAACAGGATTTATTATGATCCATCTAATCCTGCTGGTTTTGGTAGTATTGATAAATTATCAAAAGCCATGAAGGGTAAAATGAATAAAAAGCAAGTAAAGGAATGGTTAAAATCACAAGAAACATACACATTACATAAACCCATTCGAAAAAAATTCCCGCGTAATAGGTACATTCTATCAAATATTAATGAACTGTGGCAAGCTGATTTAAGTGATATGCGAACTTATTCTCAATATAATGATGGTTTCAAGTATATACTTTGTATTATTGATGTATTTAGTAAATATGCTTTTGCAAGACCAATGAAAAAGAAAAACTCAGAAACAACTAAAGAATGTTTTGAAAGTATATTTACTGAAAGTAATTTAACACCTACTCACATACAATCCGATAAAGGTACAGAATTTGTTTCAAAAGATGTACAAAAATACTTTAAATCCAAAAAGATTAATTACTATACCACTAACAATCCTGACATTAAGGCTAGTATTGTTGAACGATTTCAAAGAACACTAAAAATGAAAATGTGGCGTTATTTCACTCATAATAATACTTATAGATATATAGATGTTTTACAAGATTTAATATACTCTTATAATCACAGCTTTCACTCTAGTATTAAGATGTGCCCATGTGATTTAAATTCCAACAATATTATGTATGTACAGTTTGGACTAATCTTTATGATAGACGGTAAAAAAAACTTTCTTTAGAAAATTCTAAACCAAATTTCAATGTGGGTGATTATGTTCGAATAACTAAATATAAACATGTATTCCAAAAAGGATATGAATCAAATTGGAGTGATGAAATATTTATTATATCTTCAATAATTGATAGATCTCCATGGGTTGTTTATACAATAACAGATTTACAAAATGAACCAATAATTGGTACTTTTTATGAAAGAGAATTACAGAAAATCACTTACAACCCCACCTCACAACATAAAATAGATAAAATAATTGACACTCGTTATTCAGGTAACAGAAAAGAAGTATTAGTGAAGTGGAAAGGTTATCCAGATAAATTTAACAGTTGGATTTTAGCTTCTAGTTTAAAAGAAATATGAATAAAGAAAGTTTCTATTTAACTTTGCTCAGCAATAGTTCAATGGAATACTTTCCTGATAACAAGACCACAAATTTTTCAACGAAATTACCAAAAGCTATAAAATTAGAAGGTGAATGGTCGGTTGGAGTTGTCGAGTTTCAATATCCATGTACCATGTTTACTGTTCAAGACCATGAAAATGTTATATACATTACAAAATCTATGTTAATGCCTAATGAAGATAAACCATCCACAGTGTACTACAAAAAACATATTCCAGCTACCAACTATGATAACGTTGAGCATATTTTAAGAGTGTTAAATGGTATCGGAGAGAACTTGAAATTTCGCTATGATGAAATAACAAAATTTGTGTCTATTTCGGTATTGGATAAAAATATAACATCCGTAACATTATCACCCAAATTAAGTTTACAGCTAGGTTATGAACCAAATAAAAATCTCCAAGAGAGAAATTTTGGAAAGTGTCCTGCTAATTTACACTTAGGGTTACCATCTCAACTATTTCTATATTGCGACATTATCGATCCTCAGATTGTGGGTGATGTTATGACTCCTTTATTAAGAGTCATTTCATTAGATCCTACAAAATACATTTATGGTGCAAATAAAATGCACGTTTTCTCTCAACCTCACTACTTACCTGTTATGCGAAGAGAGTTCGATACGTTGGAAATAGTTATAAGATCGAGTACAGGACAAAAAATACCATTCCAGTTTGGAACCGTGTGTATTAAACTACATTTCCGAAAATTATAATAATGAATTCTCTTCGTGATCATCATAAATGTCCATATGAAAATTATTATACACATCAAGCTGGATCAGGAGTTGGAGTAATTTATAAGGGTTCACCATATCAACGCGGTCATGGTATTGGGAGCTTCTTAGGGGGGTTATTCAGATCAGTTTTACCTTTACTTTCAAGTGGTGCTCGAGTGATTGGTAAGGAGGCATTAAGCGCTGGAGTAGGACTTTTATCGGATATGGTTCAAGCCCGTCCTATGGAAGCCTCAATAAAAGATCGTCTAAAGCAAGTTAGTACGAATTTAAAACGAAAGGCTGATGAGAAAATTGATCAATTTAACATGACTGGATCTGGGTATAAAACTAAAAGAAAACGATTGACATCGTTCATTCCACCATTAACTGCTAAAGTGAAAGCTGCGAAAAAACTTTGTCTAAAACCAAAAAATATCAAAGATATATTTTCAAACTAAATATGTCTTTCCTTCATAATCATTCTTGTGAGTGCGTTAAGTCAGAATTGGATTTGTTTGCACTACCGTCTACACAAACTAGCATTGAAAATGGATTGTGGATTCATTATAAACCAATTTCATCTCTTGATGATGATGGACCTATCGAGTTTCAAGTTCCTGGGACCGGCGATGACTACATAGATTTGTCTCATACATTACTCCACATAAAGGCAAAAGTATTAAATCAAGATTCAACTAACTTGGTATCTACTACAATAGTAGCACCTGTAAATAATTGGCTGCATTCACTTTTTAGTCAACTTGATGTTTATTTAAACCAAAAACTTGTATCACCACCTAATAATACCTATGCATATCGAGCATACATGGAAACCCTTTTAAACTATGCCCCTGCTGCTAAACAATCTCATCTTACTTGTAGTCTTTGGTATGAGGATACAGCAGGAAAAATGGATTCTACAGATGGTAAAAACATAGGATTTGTTAAAAGACAGGAATTGATTAGTGAAAGTAAGGAAATAGAAATGATTGGTCATCTTCACGGTGACATTTTTAACCAAGATAAATTTTTAATTAATGGTGTTGAAATGAGTGTTAAATTGGTTCAATCAAGAGAGAGTTTTAATTTAATTGTTGGGTCAAACGATGTAAAGTTTAAAGTTTGCATTACGGACGCAACTCTTATTGTTCGACGAGCACGAATTAATCCAAGTGTATTACTCGCACATCAAAAAGTTTTAGCTTCTACCACTGCTAAATATCCTATTACTCGAGCTGAAGTAAAAGTTTTAACAATTCCTTCGGGTGTTCAAGGAAAAACTCTTGATAATATATTTTTAGGACAGGTACCGAAAAGATGTATAATTGGATTTGTGAACAATTCTGCATTTAATGGTTCCCTTACTAAAAATCCATTTAACTTTGAAAACTATGGTATTAATTCTTTCAGCTTACATATTGATGGTCAACAAATACCTTCAAAAGCTTTGCAACCATCTTTTAATAATAGCATATTTACATCAGCATATCATACTCTATTCTCGGGAACTGGTATTCACTTTCTTAATGAAGGAAATGGAATCTCTTGTGAACAGTATGGCAAAGGTTACTGTCTATTAGCATTTGACTTAACTCCTGATTTATCAGCTAACTCATCAACTCATTGGAATCTCATAAAGCATGGTAGTGTAAGAATAGAAGTACGATTTGAATCCTCATTAATACAAACAATTAACTGTATAGTTTATGCTGAGTTTGATAATATTATTGAGATAGATAAAAACAGAAATGTTACTGTAGACTATAGTAGTTAAGGTTATAATATGTGTTGTGTGTTAGATTTTATGTGTTATGTGTAATGCATTTTGTGTGTACGTAACTATGTGAAACGTTATAAAATTAAATAAAACAAATTGTATGCAATATATTTTTTTTTATTTCTTTATAAATCTTCTATTTAATCTAATACAAAACACTGTTCGAGTTGAAATTTTACATAAGCACACTGACTAAACCACTGAACATGCTGCTGCCAAGGATCATCATCATCTTCCCAATTTTTTAAACCACCACCACAATGGAAACACTTGGTCCCGTCTGCATGGCCAGTATAAAAGAAACCAGCTTCTGCAAGATCTTCAGGTTTCTGTCGCATAACGAGAGGCCAGTTTTCGAAACTAAGCAAACGGCTAGATTTTGAACTGAAGAATGGATATTCAGCTCTTGAGTACTGCATACTCTTCTCGTTTTCTTCTCCACTCAGTTTTGTAGTTTTGTTATTCAATTATGTGTTTTGTACACGTATGCCACACTCATCTCTTCCTTCCGCTCTTGTCTTCCTGTAATTGAAGTAAACAGAATCACATTCACTAATGATCAGCTAATGACTGTCATTGTTAAAAGAGTATTTTTTAACTTTTTCACTTTCTGCTATTGTCTTTGTTATATTGTATACGAGGGCGTTTGTGTTGTCGTAGATGCTATCCTTATTAGTCTTTACGTAATATTTAATTCTCGTGGAAGCATGTTTCCAATGATCAGTAGTTGGAATCTTGGATAGCTTCTTCATATCGTACATTTCAATTTTGATGAGATGCGTCGCTTGGTCTCCGTCGTCAGAATTAGTAGAAATGTATGATACACCATCTCTAGCGGCTCGTGCTACGGTTGATGATAACAGCTTCCTCTTTTTTATTTTTGATTCAGCTTCAAAAAAATGATCAATCGATTGCGATTTTCTTTTTCCACCATCGCATGTGTTATTATTAATGACGAGGTTATCACTCTCTTCTTGAGGGGAGAGTGGCGAGTAGTAATACTGTTTATAGGTATCTTCATCGAAGCTCAATGATTTCTGCAACAACACAGTTATCATGTTAATATCAATTTGTTAACACTTAATCATAAAAGTTAAAAAAGTTAAAGTTACAGCCTATTAAAGTCCACTGCTGAACATAGGCCTCCTCTCATTTCTGAGAGGGTTTTAGAGCAAGGAAATGTCCGCCGCGCTCCCTCAATGTGTGTTGGCGAACTTCACATGCCTTCGAAATTTTCTCAGACATGCAGGTTTCCTCACGATGTTTTCCTTCACCACCAAGCACGTGGTAATAAGCACTTAAAATTGCGATTAACAATTTAATTGATGCTGGCGGGGATCGAACCCGGGTCGCGTACTGTGAAATTTACAGCTAGCGCTAACCATCTGAGTTACCACGGCTTAATCATATACATACACAATATTTAAATAAAATAATACACACACATGAAAATAACAGAAAAAAAGTAATTTAGTCAATAGAATAAACACTTACATCCATAGCCTTTGGTGTATTGAAGTAACACAAATGTACTATTGATAGATCCACTGTAGTCAAACGACCGTACACTAACTCGATGACTGCGTCTGTTGGTCTTATATACCACCAGTACGTAAAAATTCTAATCTAAAGTATTTCCGTAATGAGTTGATAATTACTTTATGCGTCAACCAGTTTATCTCACATTTCCGTTGTCTATCTCAACATTTCTTCGTATTGTGTTTTGTTTGGTGATCAATGACTCAAGTACGATTTGTATAACATAAAAATGCAATTTAATATTTAGAAACATATCAGTTTATCTCACATTTCCGTTGCCTATCTCAACATTGTTTTGTTTGGTGATCAATGACTCAAGTACGATTTGTATAACACAAAAATGCAATTTAATATTTAGAAATCACTATAATTGACCATTCCTATGTTATTCATTGAGTAGATTGGTACTGTAATAATCTACTAATAGCAGTAATATCATGGATACACTAGATGTACAACAACATCTGAAAAAGATTCACCCCAGTCTAGAAAATAATGTTTATGCAGCTAATAGACTGCCTATGTATACCCACGTACCAACGTATATAAAATGTAATTTGG